GGAGGAAAGTGTGACTAGAGAAGCTGCCTACTTAACCACCATTCTGTGCTGCTTTCTTCAGTTCCCATTAGCACCCTTACGGAGCCTGTTCTAGCCAATAAAGCACATCTATTTTTGGCTTCTGTGCAGACAGAAGACCCAACTGGTATACAAATCTTTCCCAGAGCTGAGCAGGATAAGCATTTTATTTTATAGTCGAAATTTAAAAAACTTACGTTCTACCCTTTCCTCTAAAAAACATGATCATTATTGTGGGCTTAATGCTAGTAGACAGGAGAATTGGAAACATTATATGGAAGAGTAGAATGTTATTGCTTTCTTTAAATTATCTTCATGATTATAAAAAGTTGTTCGTGTATGGAACATAGGTCATACCTGGAATAGGAAGAAAGTAAGCATTTTATGATCTATTAGAATGTAGACGAGTGGTGCCCAGCTTTAGTGCATTTAAATTAGCTGGGGTGTTTGTTGAAACTGTCTGTTCTAAAACCTCACCCCTAGTGATTCTGAATGAAGCCTATGGTTAGGCCCAGAAATTTGCCTTTTCAAAGGAAGATTCTGATACATGTCGTCTACAAGTCACACTTTGAGACCTGAGATTAAACACTGGTCATACTTTAGTGCCTGCCTTTCCTAATGGTTAAAGTTAGCACTTCTTAAATAGTTCGTTTAGAATTCTTTCATATCCCAAAGTCTCCAGCGAACTGCTTTTGCACTCCTAGTTCTTAGAATAATTGTGCTGTAGTAATAGTTAAAATAATAGGTGAGTCTTTTTGGTGCTTGGTATTTTGGTACGTTTAGAGGAACAATACCATTAATTAAGCAAATTGGTTGGACATCAATTTATACAATTCTTACAGAATATGAAATTGCTACAATTGACATAAGATAAAAGCCTCAAATGATTATAGTAATATAGCAAAAGCCTTCAGGACTTAAGTGCAGCCTTAGGGACATCAGCCCACAGTAATGTACTGTTAACACTTACAGATTATTACTTACAGACTTTGCTGATGATTACAACAATATATTTGTTCTACCCAAAGTTACTGAATATATACTATGTGCAAAGCACCTGCCAGGCTTTGTGGAGAGTACAGACAGTTGTATAACATTTAGACCCTTATCTAAAGCAACTTGTAATTTATAAAACTTGACATTGCTTATGGCTGCAGGGACTATGTGTAGTCATAAACAGTTACTTTTATGAGTAATTTATGACCACTGAAATGCAATGCACATTTGAGAGTAAAGAAACAAATATTAAGGATGATAGTTTCTAAGACACATGCCTCCTATTCTCATCTTTTCCATGTGCCACAGTGTATGTTTCTACTTCTTATTTCAAGGTTGAAGTGGCCTTTTGTTAAATAAAAAGAGTCGTAAAAAGTAGAAATTGACTGACTGCAAATGTCATGTCCAGTTACCTCCCATATGATATCCCATGACAGCCCCTCCTTTCTATTATTTCTGCATCTTGTATAGGATGGCCTGCTACAGGATGTCATCCAACAAGGCCTACAGTCCTAAAACAGAATGTTAACTGGGCTGATGCCTCCATTTGGGGGAAATACCAGAATCTTCACAGGTGTTTGTTCATTAAGAAAGAAAGAAAGGGCCAGGCGCGGTGGCTCACGCCTGTAACCCCAGCACTTTGGGAGGCTGAGGCAGGTGGATCACTTGAGGTCAGGAGTTCAAGACCAGCCTGGCCAACATGGTGAAACCTTATCTCTACTAAAAATACAAAAAAATTAGCTGGACGTGGTGGCACATGCCTATAACCCAGTTACTCAGGAGGCTGAGGCAGGAGAATCACTTGCACCTGGGAGGCAGAAGTCGCAGTGAGCTAGGTTGGCACCACTGTACTCCAGCCTGGGCGAAAAAGCGAGACTCTGTCTCAAAACAAACAAACAAACAAACACAGGCTTTGAAGGAGCGTGATGATTCACAGTGTGCCTGCACACTGGAGCTGGCCTGTGAGCTTTTATCTTATCTGTTGTGAAAAGAATAGGTGGTCAGAAACTTTTAGAGCAATTTGATAATTTCATGCCCATTAACTTTAACAATAAAATAATTACATTTATAGTTTTTATCTTGTTTTTATTTCATTTTATTATTCTACTGATTTTTAATTGTATTTTATAAAAGTATTGGCTCAAAAGTGATAGATTTGAAATAACTCTTTAAAAAACTAGTTCTTTACCACAGATAGTTTGAAAAGCACTGTTAAAGAAGCTTTTCTTGCTGGAGTAAAGACTTAAATGTAAAACTCAAAGCTATAAAAACTCTAAAATAAAATCTAGGCAGTACCATTCAGGACAAAGGCATGGGCAAAGATTTCATGATGAAAACACCAAAAGCAATTGCAACAAAAGCAAAAATTGACAAATGAGATCTAATTAAACTAAAGAGCTTCTGAACAGCAAAAGAAACTGTCATCAAAGTGAACAGGCAACCTACAGAATAGGGGAAAATTTTTGCAGTCTGTCTATCTGACAAAGGTCTAATATCCAGAGTCTAAAAGGAACTTTAACAAATTTACCAAGAAATAAACAACCCCATTAAAAAGTGGGCAAAGTACGTGAACAGACACTTCTCAAAAGAAGACATTCATGTAGCCAACAAACATGAAAAAAAGCTCGACATCACTGATCAGTAGAGAAATGCAAATCGAAACCACAGTGAGATACCATCTCACACCAGTCAGTATGGAGATTATTAGAAAGTCAAGAAACGAGATGCTGGTGAGGTTGCAGAGAAAAGGAAAGCTTTTGCACTGTTGGTAGGAATAAATTAGTTCAACCATTGTGGAAGACAGTGTGGCGACTTCTTAAAGATCTAGAAGCAGAAATAGCATTTGACCCAGCAATCCAATTATAAATCATTCTATTATAAAGATACATGCACATTTATGTTCATTGCAGCACTATTCACAATAGCAAAGACGTAGAATCAACTCACATGTCCATCAGTGATAGACTGGATAAAGAAAATGTGGTACATATACACCATGGAATACTATGCAGCCATAAAAAGAAACAATATCATATCCTTTCCAGGGACACAAATGGCGCTGGAAGCCATTATCCTCAGCAAACTCACACAGGAACAGAAAACCAAACACTGCACGTCCTCACTTACAAGTGGGAGCTGAACGATGAGAACAGAGGGACACATGAGAAGGAATGACACACAATGGGGCCTGCCAGTGGGGAGAAGGGAGGGAGAGCACCAGGAAGAATAGCTAACAGATGCTGGGCTTAATACCTAGGTAATGGGTTGATCTGTGCAGCAACCCACCATGGCACATGTTTACCTATATAACCTGCATATTCTGCACATGTACCCCGGAACTTAAAAGTTGGGAAAAAAACCCAAAAACCTTTAACAGAAAAAAAGAATATTTTCTTGATTCAGAAAGTGTTCAGCTTCCCTCCTCCCCACATTAGTTTCTTTTTTACCATGTATATTTCTGCCAGAGTGAGCTCCTGGGTATTAATTTTTAGCCAATATGTGATACAGGAGAAGGCAGACTTCTTTAATTTAAAAAAATTAATTCCCTAAATAGCCATCAAATTACTCCCTTGTAAAACCAAGTTAAAGAGCTTCCAAGCTTAAAACTTTTAAAAGAGAAATGCAGTTTTAAAAAAGGTAATTATCTGTTTTTAATCAAGTTTTGTTTTTGCCAAAATATTATATTAAATTTCTATTATATGTATTAAGCCAGTGTAGCAGACTAAAACTTTAGGATTTAAAAATGTAAATAACTAAATAGAATTAACTGTTGAATCTATTTATGTCAGGATGCTTGACTGAGACTACTCACCAAGTAAGCCTAGTAGAAAATGGCCTGTTAGAAAATGCATGAGCCCGTAAGTCAGCCAGGCTGACAGGTCATTGCCCTGGACTTCCGTCATCTTACCTATAAAATAAAGCTGCCTATGAAATGAAGGGGTCAGCCCAGATGAACCCTAGGGCCTTCTCCATTTCTAATATTCCGTACGTCTGTGAATTTAATTCCATAATAATTTTAAACTACTGTATTTTTTTTTTTTTTGAGACAGGGTCTTGCTCTGTTGCCCAGGCTGGAGTGCAGTGTCGTGATCACAGCTCACTGTGAACTGCTGAGCTCAAGTGATCCTCCCACCTCAGCCTCCTGAGTAGCTAGGACTTAGAGGTCTGCAACACCACTCCTGGTTGGTGCAAAAGTAATTGTGGTTTTGCCATTAAAAGTAATGCAATTATTTTTGCACCTGTATATATGTTTGTTGGTTTTTGTTTTTTTTTAGACAGGGTTTTGTTATGTTGCCCATGCTTGGCTTCTGTGTTTTTAAGAGCTGCATGGATGACTCCATTGCATACCATAGTTGAAAGTCATAGACCAACAGGCTAGGGAGCTGACTGGGCCAATAGAAGAAAAAACATGGGAGGTCCAATGTAGGTGAAGGAACTCAACAATGGCAAAAGAAGTGACACATTCTAACATGGAAAAGATTGGGAAAAGATGGAAACAACTCATAGCTTTAAGTTGAGATGGTAACAGAGATGTTACTTTCCATCTTGACTACTTGTTGATCACACGAGGCTGAGGGTTAAGATGTTGGCAGAGAGAACCAAAGATTTATAAACTGACCCAAGAAGGTCTGAGGCCTTTTTGTCTATGGATATTTTACCCTGGCATGCACACTTGCACGCAGTGTTCTCATTTGGCCTAAGAGTGCCTTCTACATTGTAAGGACATCATCATATACTTAGAAGGTTTATTTGATTTTAGAGTTGTACCAGGGCTCTTGGCTTGACAAAGAAAGGTAAAGTGATTCTGTCTTCATCTATGCCACTCTTTTGATCTTTATCAGATATTACCTGGCTTGTCTGGAGCCAGCCTGTAAGGTCAGGTGGCCTTTGTTTCCATAGTTCCAGGGTTTGGTGAAGCATCTTATGGCACTAAGTATTGATTGAACGTCTGTCAGTGACCTCTGCAAACTCTGCTTTTGTTGTAGGAAGCAGTACAGGTTTTGATTAAGCACTCAGCTGATGTCAATGCAAGGGACAAGAACTGGCAGACCCCTCTTCATGTGGCAGCAGCCAACAAGGCTGTCAAATGTGCAGAAGTGATCATTCCCCTGCTGAGCAGTGTCAATGTCTCCGACCGAGGGGGGCGCACAGCCTTGCACCATGCGGCTTTGAACGGCCACGTGGAGGTGGGTATTTTTATCATTCAGAATTGGAACGCTCCCTCCAGGCACTTTCAGCCACAAGTGGAAACTGATCTTCTTGCTGAGATTTTAAAGAATGTGATGAAAACATTTGTACACCAAACCTTCAGCATCTATATCATTCTCAACTTTAGAGCCACAATGAATTGAAAAAGTAGGCTGTCACTTCAGTCTTTTCCTCTGACACACATGACACAGTTCCTGCTCTGACATCATATTTCTACTTTGTCAGAACTCCAGATCTCTGACCTGCCTTTAGATTTCATGTTAATTTGGCTCAGATCACCTGCAGGCAGTGAGGAGGCCTCACCATTACAGAATGTATGCTTGATTTCCTTGTTGGTTATCTTTCAGATGGTCAATTTACTCTTGGCCAAAGGGGCAAATATCAATGCATTTGACAAGAAGGACCGGCGTGCTCTGCACTGGGCAGCATACATGGGTAAGGATTCCATGCATGGAAAGCAAAGTACAGATAACCTTAACTAAATAAGCCACGGGTCTCTTGTTGACCATGTAGGTTTTCTCCATTCTGACTTCTTTTCAAGTTTGGGTTGCAATGGAATGAAGATTTGGTACATTTTACTGGCATGCATAGTGTGCTCTAGTCGGGCAGTTGCTTTGTCAGATATTTATTTATCCTACAAAGAAGAGGAGGAATGAATCATGGCTTGGGCCTCTTTGAATGTGCTTCAGTCTGGATTGGAAAGCTGCACAGATTGTGCTTATTTTAACTTGTCATGGCAGTAAAATAAGGTGTTTTAAAAAGAAAGAGCACTGGCTAGGAAAGCAAGGACACAAATTCCATTGGTCTTTTTAAATTTATAAATATTTTTGAAAGAAACAAGAAGAAAGGAAGAAAAGACAAACCTCTGGCTATTTTATAGGTGAAGGGCACCAGAAGTACTGAGGATTATCCTGATAGTCCACTGACAACCAAACTGAAGCCTGCAGCCCTCGTTTCTGCCCGCTTGGGAGAGGTCACATTTCTATGTTTTTCCTTTTCACTTTTGTTGGCAAATCCCACTGACAAATGATAGATCTCACAGTTTATTCCAAGTGTAGACTTGTGGGAAATGAAGAACTAAGATATTTCCTTTGTGTTTCTAATTGGAGAACATCCTGCTATTAGAAAAATAGGATTCTATCAGCACCAAGTTGTAAACAACCTGAATACCCATCCCCAGGAGACTGTTTTGGTAAATTCTGGAAGATCCACACAAGGGGACCCTTTGCAGTAACTACAGTGATGAGTCCATGAGTGTTTATTAACACAGATTCTGTGATATGTTAAGTGAAAGCATATTATAAAGCAGTATAAATAAAATAATTCTCATTTTCATTTAAAAATCTGTGCAATAACAAACCTGGAAAATATTGTATGCTAAAATTTTAATTGATTGTCTCTGGGTATTTATGATTGTGGATGATTTTGGTTTTCTTTTAATACCTTTTTGCCTTTCTGAATCCTTTGTAACAAACATATGTGCCTTTTATCATCGCTTTAAAAATTAACATTAATTATAGGGAGAAAGAATAGGTTGGGGCAGGGATGAAATAAAGTATGTGGCTAAAGATGGGTCTGAATGAATCCCTGTGCTTAAAAAAACAGAATCTTAAACTTTTACAAGCGTTAGCATGTTTTTTAAAAAAAGTTGACATGGATTTTCGAGTTGGCTGAAGCATATGAAATGACTAGGTGGCACCTGCAGGACTGGAGCCTGTGACTGCGGGAGACAGCTGTGTAGGTCGAACACACACTAAGCTAGTGTGGATAGGACTCAAAGAGTGCGAAGTTTCAAGCTTGTTCTCTGCTGATGTATACACAGTTAAAGCATTTGGATAAATGACTCTAAAGAAATCAAGTCATTGTTTTGTGTGCTATCAGGATACAAATAGGAATAATAGGCAAAACCAGGGCAAATAGCTTAAGACAGCACCACTAATTATTGAAAAAAAATTTTCTATATACAAGTCTTGGGGAGAAAAGAGTCAAATTTTAATAAAACAAGCCAATACCTCCCCCGACTCCAACACACACACGGAGTCCTGGAGTCAGTACTTGTCTTCTACCCTTCAATTTTCAGCCGCATTTAGAGCAGTGATCCTGAAGCACTGAACAGTCTTCAGTGCTGAAAGAAAGGTCAAATATGCTTTTTTGTTTGTTTGTTTATTTATTTATTTTTTGATACAGGGTCTTGCTCTGTTGCCCAGGCAGGAGTGCAGTGGTGCTATGTCGGCTCACTGCAGCCTCCGCCTCCCAGGTTCAAATGATTCTCGTGCCTCAGCCTCCTGAACAGCTGGGACTACAGGCGTGTGCCACCACACCCAACTAAGTTTTTAGTAAAGACGGGGTTTTAGTAGAGTATTCTTAGTAGAGACAGGATTTCACCATGTTGTGCAGGCTTATTCTATATATGGTGAATTATGGAACAGAGTAAAATATTGTAGAAAAGAATGCTAACAGGAGCTAAAACTAGAAGGGTTTTCTGTTTGGCCTCTAATTCATGAGGATACTTTTAAGTTGAGCCATATGAAATTGCCATTTTTGTGGGTCCAAATACAGTTAAGCAGCAGTAATTTTGTATGATTAAACAGTAATCTATGGTCATTTTCATTATTTTTTTTCTTTTATCAGTTTTTCCTAACTGAATTGTCATTGTTAAACTTTTCAGTGAGGAATGGCAATTGTTTTCAAAAGCATTGCTTTCATTTTAACACAACATTTTTTAAGGCTCTCTACTGATATCTTGGCAAAACCTCACCATTATTCATTAGCATGGTAACAGGCATCACCTAGATCTCCTTGAAGAGAAGGCTCATATGAATCATCTTTTTTCTTCCCACAGCATTTACATTATGCCTGACTATAGGAGGTACTCAATAAATATTTGTTGAATAGCTTCCATGAATATTTTCCAGTTTTTACAAATAACTCAGCAAAATACTGGTGGCAATAAAAGCTAATGGTGATAATTTAGGTGAAATGAATCAGCAAATTGTCCTATAAAGGTTAACGATGTTTTCTGCTGCTTTGTTTGTAAAGGCCACCTGGATGTTGTGGCATTGCTCATTAACCATGGCGCAGAAGTGACCTGTAAGGATAAGAAGGGTTATACCCCTCTGCATGCTGCAGCCTCCAATGGACAGATCAATGTTGTCAAGCATCTCCTGAACCTGGGGGTGGAGGTGAGCTATAATGAATGCATCACTGCATGGCCTGTGTATTTGTGAGATTTCTGTTATTCTAAAGTTAAATCCTGTTTGCACTTTAATTCAAGGGCAGGGGAGTTTTTTCTAGCATCCTGTCTTTTTAAGATTTTGTGGGCAACTGGTAAAGGGCAGTGGGGGCATACACTAAGCAGAGGAAAACTGGAAACTGAATAACTTTCTATATCAACATAGATAAATATATAGACATATAGATTCTATGTAATATTTATTAACCAGTTGTTTTTAAAGACTGGCCAAGGTTCTGCATCCCACCTTCCAAATGTAGCCTTCTAAGTCATGACTTACAGCAGAAATGAATGAATAAATGGCAGAGACAAACATCAGCAATGTCTGTTCTTGAGCTGGAGAAGTCGGACTGCTGCATTCTCCTTCTGCTGGTAGAACAGGAGCAGTGGTGAGGCTGGAACATCCTGTCCCCCAGGAAAGGAAAACCAAGTTGCTATACAACCATAATGATGAAACCAGGCACCCAGGGCAGGTCTCAGAAAGCAATAGGGGGCCATGGACGAAACACACCTCCTGACGGCACCACTGCTCTGCTACTAAAATGGAACCTGGTGAGGTGTCAGGCTCCAGAGCAAAACAGATATTAGGTTCTGACCTGCCTTCTGTGTTTAGGCTCCACAGCCACCTCTCCTGCCATCTCCGCAGCCACTACCTGCTATCCACTACCATTTCTTGAGGTTTGCTGTGCCCCAACCCTAGAGTGTGGGACTCTTTTTGTTCTCTTCTGATTTACTTCTCTTTTGGTGTTTTGAAAGCAGCTTTGCCCTTCACCTTTTATCCCTTTGTTAGCTGAAAAATACCTCTCCCCAGGATGAAACTTCTCTCTCTCCAGTTCATTTTTTGCCACATTGACGTTTTGCTGATCTTTACCATGGGGTGACAAGCATTCCCAAGATGACCACACTGGGGCAAGAGTAAGCTCTGAACAATTATATTGACGGATGGCTATTTCCTTTCTCTAGCCACAGCAATTATGCTTTTTGTGGAAAATGGAGTAAACTGGCTCCAATGACTTGAATCACCCTGTGTTGGACTCTTTTGCAGATTGATGAAATCAATGTCTATGGAAATACAGCGCTTCACATCGCCTGCTACAATGGACAGGATGCTGTGGTTAACGAGTTGATTGACTACGGTGCTAACGTGAACCAGCCAAACAATAATGGGTTCACCCCTTTGCATTTTGCTGCTGCCTCCACTCATGGTGCTTTGTGTCTTGAATTGTTAGTAAACAACGGGGCAGATGTTAACATTCAGGTATGACACTCTTGGTCTCTGTGTTGAATGCCTTTGCATTGAGCTTCTATTTGAGCAAAATCAACTGCTGCAAATGATACCATGTTTTAGTGAGTTGGAACCCTGAGCACTTTGACTCACACAGCCTTGTCCTGGATTTGGAGGCCATAAAAAAAGTTGTGTGGAAGCTGAGGTGGGTGGATCATGAGGTCAGGGGTTCAAGACCAACCTGGCGAAGATGGTGGAAACACCATCTCTACTAAAAATACAAAAATTAGCCAGGCGTGGTGGCGGGTGCCTGTAATCTCAGCTACTCGGGAGGCTGAAGCAGAGAATTGTTTGAACCCGGGAGGCGGAGGTTGCAGTGAGCTGAGATTGTGCCACTGCACTCTAACCTGGGCAACAGAGCAAGACTCCATCTCAAAAAACAAAAACAAAAAAACAGGTTGTGTTATTTTTATCCAGGAGTGGTGGTATCAGCTGAGAGGTACCAAGGCTCCAGCCGTGTGTTCTTGTTAGCTTAGTGAATGTGTCAGGACAAATACTAGATCTCTAGGATGTTGACTTGGCCCAGAAGCTAATACTGAAGTGAATGTTGAGCTGATAGAGCAGTGCTGCTAAGAATTCAAAGGGAGGCCTAATAATGATTGTGGGCCTGTTTCCAACTCCAGTGTGGGTTTAGAGCTTCTCAGATACCTTCTTCTTCTTTTTTTTTTTTTTTTTTGAGACGGAATTTTGCTCTTGTCACCCAGGCTAGAATGCAATGGCGCGATCTCAGCTTACTGCAACCTCTGCCTCCTGGGTTCAAGCGATTCTCCTGCCTCAGCCTCCCCAGTAGCTGGGATTACAGGCACCCACCACCATGCCCAGCTAATTTTTTGTGTTATTAGTAGAGATCGTGTTTCACCATGTTGGCCAGGCTGGTCTCAAACTCTTGGCCTCAAGTGATCCACCTGCCTCAGCCTCCCAAAGTGTTGGGATTACAAGTGTGAGCCACTGTGCCTGGCCAATACCTTCTTAAAGCAAACCCCAAATAGTGGCTTCAGTGATGTAGCACTGAGCTGGTCATCACAATCATTCCTTTATTCCGCAAATTTACTACAGACTACCCAGTGCCCTCTGTTTGGTACTGAAGGAGTGCTCCAAGATGAGATTCAGTCTCTGCCTTTAAGGAATGTATAATGTAGTAGGGAGATAACATGCCCTCAGGTAATTATGAGCAAGAGAAGATATGATGAGAAGAGGCATAAAGCATTGCAAACTGTAAGAAGCAAGTGTTGACCTGTTTTTTGCTTGGGAATAAGAAATGGAGATCGATTTTGAGCAGAGACTTGGAAGATTGATGTAGTTGAGTTGAGGAGGGATAGAGATAATTTGAGAGAGAGTGTTCCAGATAGAACAGCATGAGCAAAAAGGGGTGGGAATTCTGGATAGGAAAACCTCTAGGTAACTCGTCAGCTTGCCATGTGACAGCTAACCAAGGGGAGCTTATCACACAGCATTCATAATTTGGGTGACATCACTTGAATGCATTTAGATTGTAGCAGAATATCCTAAGCTGTGCTAGGAAACCTTTTACTCAACCCAGACTTCCCTTCTTCCCAGCACACAGGGCTCCTGAAGTAAGGTCCCAATGTATTCTGTCTCTGGTTTTGAAAAATACGATTTCTAAGGTGTAATTTCAAGAATATCACATCAATCTATTTTAATAAGCTTCTCTATTCACTATTAAAATCTTTTATTTTTTTCATAATTTCTTTTTTTTTTTTTTTTTTAAGACGGAGTCTCGCTCTGTCGCCTGGGCTGGAGTGCAGTGGCCGGATCTCCACTCACTGCAAGCTCCGCCTCCCGGGTTCACGCCATTCTCCTGCCTCAGCCTCCCGAGTAGCTGGGACTACAGGCGCCCGCCACCTTGCCCGGCTAGTTTTTTGTATTTTTTAGTAGAGATGGGGTTTCACCGTGTTAGCCAGGATGGTCTTGATCTCCTGACCTCGTGATCCGCCCGTCTCGGCCTCCCAAAGTGCTGGGATTACAGGCTTGAGCCACCGTGCCCGGCTTTTTTTATAATTTCTAATAGTGGTGAAAGATGTGACAAATTTTCAGAATAGCAATTGATTGTCTCGAATAGAGTATAATTTTATGAACATGCCAAGTATGGTGGCTCGGCCTGTAATCCCAGCTCCATGGGAGACTGAGGTGTAGGATTCCTTGAGCCCAGGAGTTTGAGATCAGCCTGAGCAACCTAGTGAGAGCCTGTCTGTAAAAAACTTTTTTATTTTTAATTGTATGACAGAAAGGAGCCAGAAATGAGCTGAAATGTGATTTGACCAAGGAAGAGGACTCATCTACTCGCTGATTTTGAGCCCAGGGAGCTTGGGCCTCTCCAGGCTCTGCAGGCCACTAATAATTCTAGGGGCCATATGATCAGACCTGAGCATTAAAAACAGTAATCTGGTCACAGAACACCAAAGGCAGGAAACATAAAGGAAAATAATCGTATATATGACTTCCAAAAAAGTCTTAAATATTTATATAACAAAACAACAACAACAAAACCTCTAACATGAAATTCAAATAAGAACAACTTAGGGAAAATTTTCTTCAATATACATGATAAGCAAATAGTTAATATGCTTGATATATAAAGAGCTCATACAAATCAATAAGAAAAAGTGATCACTACTAGAAAACATGGAGCAAAAGTCAGATCACAAGCGAGAATAAAAAGTACATTAAGCTTGTGAAAAACTAGTATTACTGGTAATTAGAAAAATACAAACTAATACAAAAACGTACATTTGTGTTAAAGAATGGCAAATATCAAAATGGCTAATAATACCTAGTATTATTCAATGAAAAAATAAAAATGCAATAAAGAAATATCTCATTTTTTAATGCTAAAATGTTATGGTTATGTGTGTAGATGATGCAAAGAGAGAGAAAAATCTCTGGAGTATGTACCAATATGCTAGCAACAATTATCACTGCAGAGAGACAAAATTATGATTTAGGTCGTCCTTCCTTCCTTCCTTCCTCTTTTTTTTTTTTTTTGAGATGGAATTTTGCTCTTGTCATCCAGGCTAGAGTACAATGGCAGGATCTCAGCTCACTGCAACTTCTGCCTCCTGAGTTCAAGTGATTCTCCTGCCTCAGCCTCCCGAGAAGCTGGGATTACAGGCACCTGCCACCATGCCCAGCTAATTTTTGTATTTTTTGTAGAGAGGGGGTTTCGCCATGCTGGCCGGGCTGGTCTCTAACTCCTGAGCTCAAGCAATCCACCCACCTCAGCCTCCCAAAGTGCTGGGATTAGAGGTGTGAGCCACCATGCCTGGCCTTTAGGTTTTTTTTCCTGTATTTGCTTTTGTCTTCTGATTGTGAAACAATGATAATTTTAAAAAATTATTTTTATTGTTATTATCATTATTTTTTTGTTGAGACAGGGGGTCTGGCTCTGCTGCCAGAGGTGGGATCTCGACTCACAGCAACCTCTGCCTCCCAGGCTCAAGCCATCCTCTGGCCTCAGCCTCCCGAGTAGCTGGGATTACAGGTGTACACAACCACACCCTGCTAATTTTTGTATTTTTTGTAGAGACGGGGTTTCGCCATGTTATCCAGGCTGGCCACCAACTCCCGAGCTCAAGTGATCTGCCTGCCTCAGCCTCCCAAAGTGCTGGGATTACAGGCATGAGCCACTGTACCTGGCAGAGCATGTCATTTTTATATCCAGAAAAACGAGAAAGCTATTTTCACTTTTGGAAAAAAGAAAACCCAGGTGTAGCAGACTTAGAGAGAGCTGATTAGTAGATAACTAGAAATCAATAAAACTGGCATTGGTAAGAGATAATAAGGGAACAGGGGAACGGGGAGGAGCTGACTGAAGGGAGAGGCTTTGGAGAAAGACAATCAGCAAGACTTGGCGGGACATGAACTGGAGGAGTTGAAGACTAATGTAAGGATTGAAATGTGGCAAAGAGGCCAGGCGCAATGGCTCATGCCTGTAATCCCAGCACTTTGGGAGGCCGAGGTGGGTGGATCACCTGAGGTCAGGAGTTCAAGACCAGCCTGACCAACATGGTAGAACCCTGTCTCCACTAAAAATACAAAAATTGGCCAGGCGTGGTGTCTGACACCTGTAATCCTAGCACTTTGGGAGGTACAGGCAGGCAGATCACGAGGTCAGGAATTTGAGACCAGCCTGACCAACTTCGTGAAAGCCAGTCTCCACTAAAAATACAAAAATTAGCTGGGTGTGGTGGCACGCACCTGTAATCCCAGCTACACAGGAGGCTGAGGCAGGAGAATTGCTTGAACCTGAGAGGCATTGGTTGCAGTGAGTTGAGATCCTGCCACTGCACTCCAGCCTGGGCAACAGAGCAAGACTCTGTCAAAAAAATAAAATAAAATAAAATAGGAAGGAAGAAAGAAAGAAAGAAATCCAGTGAAGAAAGGTGGTACAGCAGAGTAGTTAAGTATTCAGTTCTGGGGCCAGACTGCCTAAATTCCAATCCTAGCCTTGACTTTTAGTATCTATATAATCATAAACAAGCTCTCTGTGTGTCTCAGTTTATCTGTGAAATTAGGGAAACAATAGTATCTTCTCCATGGAACTGCTGTGAACATTAAACAGCTTTATCACACATAAACCATGTAGAATAATATCTGCCACATGATAAGCACTAGAAAAATAGATGTTATCATTAATGTTCCTTAAGAAGGATGTCAGGAGGAAGAGTAGGCTTAGGGAGTTAAACCAATACATTTAGTTTTTGAGAAGCTGATTTTTAGGTTTTGGTATAGCCAGTCTGAGAAGTTCGATAGTGTAAAATGTGGTGTTCTAGCATGAGAGACTGGTAGAGAACAGAAGAAAAAATGTAGGTTGCTTCATTCACGTAAAGGTGATTGTTGAAACCAGGAGAAAGGGACAAGACCGCCCAAGGAGAGAGTATGTAATGGCACGAGTACAGAAAGTGAGACAGCCCTTTACTCTTAGGATCAGGAGGAGGAGAAAGAGCCAGAGAAAC